GATAAAAGCTATTAATACTATTTCTTTTTGCTTTTATTGTTGCTACTACTACTACTGCTACGACTTCTACTACTACTACTACTAGCACTGCAACTACTACTACTACTACTACTACTACTACTACTACTACTACTACTACTATTCTACTACTACCGCTACTACAGCTACTACTGCTGCTGTTACTTTTCCTGCTACAGATGATGAAAGTGTATTCTTTTGTTTTTCTTTCTCAATCTCTTAAATAATTTATTCACAATCATGCATAAATCTCATCATCATTGTCATCATCATTATCATCGCCACCATCATCATCATCTTCATCATCATCAACAACAACATCATCATCATTATCAGCATCATCTTGAGCATCATCATCATGAACAACTTCTTGTTGTCTGCCAATACAGAAGGACAGCAAAATCCACATCACAGCTAAGGATTAGTGAACGAATAAAGGAATAAATGAATGAACGAACGAACGAACAAACGAACAAATGAATGAACCAATGAATGAATAAATAAATGAGTAAATGAATGAACGAGTATATGAATTTTAGAATGAACGAGTAGAGATAAATTTTAGAACCCAAATATGAGCGAACAACTGAACGGACACAAAAAAATTGAATGAATGATCGAATGAAATAAGGAATGAATGAGAAAATAAATAAAAATGAATGAACAAATGGAAAGACGAACGAATAAATACTACTTAGATAAACATATTATTTCAAAATGATAAACAAACAAATAAACGAACGAAAGAATGTTATTTTCTGCCAATTACTATGTACATTGCATAAGATTAGCTAATTTTGTACTTTTTTGCATAAAATAAAAAAATCAATGAACGACTGAATGAACTATTGAGAGATAAATGAATGAAATCGATGAACGACTGAATGAACTATTGAGAGATAAAAGAATGAAATCAATCAAGGGCTAAATAATGAAATCTTTTGTTAGATTAATGCCGCGGATTTTATCAGGATTATCGTCTGGCCACTGCTATTTTTAACTATTTCATCATTCAAACTTCTTTTTTAACTTTTAGCTACTACTACTACCACTACTATATTACTACTACTACTACCGCTTTACTACTACTAACGCTTTACTACTACTACTACTCCTTCTAATGTTACTACTACTACTGCTACTGCTACTACTGCTACTGCTACTACTGCTACTGCTACTACTGCTACTACTACTACTGCTACTACTACTACTACTACTACTACTACTACTACTACTACTACTACTACTTCCACCACCATTACTACTTTTCATTCATTTATTCAATCATCCATTCATTAATTCATCAATTCATTCTTTCATTCATTAACCGGTTGGTCAGTTAACTGGTTATTTGCTTGACCGATTCATAGATATTATCAATTAGATTTATTAGATTGTTTAAAATAGTTTGAAAGTAGCTTAAAATTATTCAAACATATAGTCTTCATATTTTTCATGTATTTTTAATGAGATTTTCATAAATAAGTAATTTTATTGATTGTATTAGGTGCATTATTAACTGCTGGTATACTAACAAGCAAGTCAAGGAGTCAAAAAATAAAACATAAGTAAAATTAAAAAAAATTCGAATGCGGCCATTTTGTAAAAAGTAAACTTTAGTGATTTTTTTAAATGGCTTCTTGTTATTTCGTCACGCGCATAATAATTTTATTTCGACACGACACTTCTGAATGTCCGAAACACTAATTTTATGATTTTAAATTGAAAAACGAAGTGTTCTCGCACTCAATTTTTTTCTGAGGTTTGCCGTCTAGCGTTTTGTGTTAATCAACATTTACTACTTTGTTTCAGTTCAATTTTTAATTTTTTCATTAATATGTGTAGTAATTAATAATTAATTGTAATTTGTCAATTTTTTCAATAATATGTGTAGTAATTGATTATAATTTGTCATTTTTGTTTAATTTTTAGGAAGAATTAGCAACGTTTGAGATTTTTACTATGAACTTTTTGACTGAATAATTGTTTTTAATAGTGCATGGTCTTTTGTATGTAGAGCTTTTGCCAGTCAAAAATTAATTTGTATACAATGTATATAAATAAAATAAGTATACATATGTAATAAATAAAATAAATACATTACAATTTAGTGACTCATACATTATGCATTGTTAGTGTAAGTAATTATTATTATAATTTTTGTCTCCAGATGGTGAGATATAGAGTAGAAGATATAGAAGAAGAATTAATCTCACAACAAATTACTAATTACTATTAGTATTAATAAGATTTTAAAATACTTCTACTACTAACCAATAAGTCAACTATCGCCATTGAAAAGTGCACATATATATACAACCTCAAAGAAGAAGGAAGAATATAATAAATAAATAATAGTATTAAATATTAATAAATATAAAAAATATTAATATTTTTATTCAATTAATTAAATTTAGAGGATTTAATTCTCTGTTTAATTTTTTTCACTACTTTGTCTTTTTTTGTAGAAGTTAAAAAGTAAGTAAGTCAGTTTTTCAAAACTAAAAACAATTCTATGAAGATGCCAGCCCCAGATTACGGTATTCAGGATGTGTGGCAGTCAAATTTGGAAGATGAATTTAGAAAAATTCGCCTAATCGTTACAAAGTTTCCTTACGTTGCGATGGTTTGGAAAGAATTATTATTATTATTATTATTACTGTTATTGGGTATTTTATATATGTGCATTTGTATTTATACATGAGTTGTGAGTGTATGTATTAGCTATACTTGGCTAGCAATTAATTATTTTAGTTCTCTATATGTTCTTGTAATTGTCTTCTGTTGTAAAGTTTTATGTTTGTGCGTGTGTGCGTGTATGTATCTATCTATCTATGTATGTATGGATGTATAAGTGTGAATGTATGTTTGTATTTATGTATGTATGTGTGTACGTGTGTGTGCGTGTGTGTGTGATTGTATGTATTAAGAATGTTTGCATGTATAAATAATCTACCAAAAAAACCCCATTTCCTAAAATTAGGACACGGAATTCCCGGGCGTTGTTGCTCGGCCGGTTGGCGAGTTTAAGAACAATTCCGACTTTCAGTATCAATTACTGAGGTGTAATGTCGATCTTTTAAAGATTATCCAGGTGCTGCTGCTGATGATGGTGATGATGAGAAGGATGAATTTTCTGATGTTGGTGGCTGAGATGATGATGGTAATGGTGATTATTTGTCAGGGGCTGGTTGGATGACTCAGATATTTCTCTTTTTTTCCAATTTATTTACTATCTTTCCCTAACTCATTAGGTCGGGTTGACATTTTACGACAGCGAAGGTCGAACGCCGTCTCCAACTTGCTCCTGGCAATTCAACTTCAAGTTCAATTTGACGTTAGTGAAGATGGCGACGACGACGATGATGTTGTTGTTAGTGATGAAGACGACGATGATGATTAAGTTATTTATGAGAATTATAATGTTGCTGGTGATGGTAAAGTTGACGATTAAAATAATGATAACGGATAACACTCATATACTCAATCGTTCATACACACACTAACACACACACACTAAGGTACACTTGTTTTCACGCACACACACACACGCACGCCCGCACAGTGCAGATATGTATTCGAAGGATTCGATCGACTTGCTGACGACGTGCGGCATACAGTTCAAAAAGCACGAAGAGTGCGGCGTGGACGTCAACCATTTTGCCGAACTTCTCATGACGTCAGGGGTTATTCTTTGCGATAATGTCAAGTGGATATCTTTTCATAGGTTGGTCAGTCGGTCGGTCGGTTGGCTGGTTAATTTATTGATTGAATAATTGATTGATTGATTGATTGACTAATTGATTGATTGACTAATTGATTGAATGAATAATTGATTGACTAATTGATTGTTTGATTGACTAATTGATTGATTGATTGTTCTGTTCATCGGTGTTGAATTTTCGTAAACCAACAACAGTGGATACGACTTCGGATACATGTTAAAGATCCTGACCTGCGCTCCGATCCCATCTGACGAACAGGACTTCTTTGAATTGATCAGGATCTACTTCCCCAACATTTACGACGTCAAGTACCTGATGAAGAGCTGCAAGAATTTGAAGGGCGGCCTGCAGGAAGTGGCAGACGAGTTGGAGGTTGTTTGTTTGTTCGTTTGTTCGTTTGTTTGTTTGCATGCTTGTTCGTTTGTTTTCATGTTATTATTATTATTATTATTATTATTATTATTATTATTATTATTATTATGTTATTCACTCTATTGACATTCCTCATATTGTGATTAAATGCTTTGTTGAGTTGAACAAAAAACTTTTTAAATTCTCTTCTGAAACCTTTTTCTGAAACATTATACACGCATGCTGTGCGTCTGTGGAAAGCTAATTCCTATGCAGAGGGGCCTATATAAATGACAAATTGTTGATATTATCATCATTATTATTATTATTGTTATCATTTGATGTTGTAGATATCACGCGTTGGTCCTCAGCATCAAGCTGGAAGTGACAGCCTGCTAACTGGATTGGTCTTTTTCAAAATGAGAGAAGTTGGTTGATTGGTTGGTTGGTTGATTGGTCGGTTGGTTGATTGGTCGGTCGATTGGTTGATTGGTCGGTCGATTGGTTGATTGGTCGGTCGATTGGTTGATTGATTAGTTGGTTGACTGGTTGTTTAATTGTCAATTGCGGATTGGTTGGATCATTTAGTGGTGGCTCGTTCTTGACATCTTGATTAGTTTATTTAATTGACTGACTGTTGTTCTTCCTAACACATTCATTCCTACACACGCAACATATGAAATTTAAAACGAACACACACACACAAACAAGCACACATAAACACACACACTCACACAAACAAACACACACACACATAAACATACATATACACACACACACAGATGTTCTTTGAAGATCACATAGATGACATGAAATACTGCGGTCATCTTTACGGTCTTGGCACGTCTTACGTCGTTAATGGTGCTGTTTTGTGTATTGTTGGTCAATCAATCAATCAATCAACTTATAATCTTATACATCAATCAACTGACCAATCAAACAATTGATTATCCAATGAATAACTAAACCAACCAATCAATCAATCATCAAACCAGCCAACCGTTTAACAAATCTACCAGCAACAAACAAACCAACCAATCAATCAATAAACCAATCAGCAACCGGCCATTCAATCAACCAACCAATCAACCAACCAATCAACAGGCTCTTCAACTGGCTCCATACCTAGTAACGCCTCTCAATCGAGTCTAAGTTCGATACAGCAGCAGCAACAACAACAACAACAAAACGGTTTAGACAACAACAACAACGGCAACAACAACGGTCCTATTGTTATGGTTGCAGGTTCTGGGGTTAATAATAGTAATAATAATAATAGTAATAATAATAGTAATAATAATAATAGTAATAATAATAATAGTAATAATAATGGGGCTATTAATATTAATGGAAAACATACACCTGTCCTCTCTATCACACCTTCAATCTGAAGATGATGATGATGATGAAGAAGAAGAAGATGATGATGAAGAAGATGATGATGATGTCGTTGATGATGGCGATGATGACGATGATGATGAAAATGACTGATGATGATGAAGAAGAAGAAGAAAGCTATCATAATTTTTATATAAAAAAAATGACATATGTATTTAACATGATATATATGTATGTATCTTTAATGATGGCCGTGATGATGACAACGACGATGATGATGATGATGATGATGATGATAATAATATAAATGATAAAGTGATGTTAGTACTAACTAATTATCATGATGATTTTATTATTATTATTTTTTGGCGTTTATCCATATTATTATTATTATTATTATTATTATTATTATTATTATTATTATTATTACTCATGTTGATATTGTTATCATTATTATTTACGACGACGATGACTATTATAATATTATTTAGTATTCATAATAATAATTATTATTATTGTTTAGTATTCATAATAATTATTATTATTATTGTTGTTGTTATTGTTTCATATATTTATTATTCTTCGTTAATCTTATCTCATTTTACGTAATGGTTTACGTAAACTATTATATCATTTTTTGTCCTTTCTTTCCGATCATTCATTCATTCATTTGTCCATCAATTGATTAATTAATTAGTCCATTCATTCATTCATTAGTCCGCTAATTCATTTATTCCTCTCCTCATATTTTATTTCAGAGGAGTAGAAAGTAAATAACCTTTTTAAGTTGAATTATTTGGTTTTTTATCTATTAATTTTACTCATTCATTAATTCACTCATTCATTTATTCATTCATTCATTCATTAGAGTGTTTATCACTCAATCTTTATTAACCATCTTTTTTAATCGTATGTATGTTTCATTCGTTCATTCGTTCGCTTACCTATCTGTCTATCATTCATTCGTTCGTTCATTCATTTAATTATTCATACATACCCACATTCATTCATTCATTCATACATTCATTCATACATTCATTCATTCATTCGTGCAAAATCAAGATTACCAGATATCATCTGTCAACTTTGGCATCCATTTGACTGGATAATTTTGTTAAACGAAAGCAATCGCATGCATGCACCTACAAACACACACACACACATGCATACACATGCACGCCACACAAATACAAACACATACACACACATGCACGCCACACAAATACAAACACACACACGCATACAGGCCACACACATACAAGCATATACATACACGCCACACATACGCTAATGTACAAACACATATATATGAGTATTGTTGAAAACATATTTATAGGGTCTTGGAGATTTTGGGAGTTTATAGTAATATTAATGATAATAATAAAATAATAAATATAATATATAAATAAATATATTATAACTCTCTGGAAAGAGATATAATAAATAACATAATAAATTTAATAACTAAAAAATATTTTTGGGTGGAGTATTTACTATTAAAATTTTTTTGGTTTTGGTTTATATATATATATATATATATGTGGTTTTCATACATATGTATAATGTGTATATATGTTTCGTTTCGTATGTTTATACTGACTGATGTATTTTATAATACGCTAAATTCGTTTGGTTTAGTGTTTTGTTTAATGCAGTGTTTGTTTGTTTGTGTGCGTGTGTGTGTGGTGTGTTTATTTAGCCCGTTTGAAACATTTAAATTTAAAAATTTATATGATAACCATTTTAACATCTGTAAATACGAAATGAAATAGGTATGCATGTATGTAAATATTATGTATTTAATATAATTAATATATATATATATATATATATTTATTATATAATATATATAAATATATAATTAGCGTATATTTGCCTCTGTGTTTGTCTGTGTGTTTGTTTGTTTGTTTGTATGTGCGCGGGTGTGCGTGTTTTTATATTTCCTGTATATTTATTTTTCATCTATCATCTCGCTATTTTTCATGTGTATTTTTTACTGGCCGTTTTCTATTCATTTGTTCATTCATTCGTTCATTTCTATTCATTCATTCATTCATTCATTTGTTCATTCATTCGTTCATTTCTATTTATTCATTCATTTGTTCATTCATTCATTTGTTCATTCATTCATTTGTTCATTCATTCGTTCATTTCTATTCATTCATTCATTTGTTCATTCATTCATTTGGTTTTTCATTCAATCGTTCATTCACTCGTTCGTTTACTCTTTTTCAATCAACCATTTATCCGGGTTTTTTGTTCTCTCTCTATCTCTCTCTTTCTCTCTCTCTTTCTCTATTACCGTGGTGTGAACATATGCTATTATAGTTTTTCTATTATCATTATTATTATTATTTATTATATTTGTTATTAGGAGAAAATTAAATTTATGAGAATTTTCTGAAAAGTTTTTCATTTTTTCAGTTTTCGAATTTATATATTTTTCTATTATTCTTCTGCTTTACTTAAATGGGCGAAAAAGTAAAAGAGAGAGAGAGAGATATGGATGGATGGATGGATAAAATTTTACAAAGAGAGAGAGAGAAGAATGTGGTGAGAGAGAGAGAGAAAGAGGGGAGTGCGTAATAACTTCTCTCCTAGTTTTGTTTCATCTTGATTCGACCTTGTACTATTTATTTTCTGTTTTGGTTGATTTCTGAATTTTTTTACATTTAGTGTATATACGAACGTACATTACAGACATACAAATACACACATACAAATACACACATACATATATACACATTCACGCACAAACATACATACAAACACACACATACTTAAATACATACATACACACTTAAATATATACTTTTTAGTTTTAAAAACTCAGTTCCAGATCGTTAAAAGAAAATCTTTTATGTTTTAAAAAGTGATTTTTGTTAGAAAAGAAATACTAACATTGGATAAATTAAGTAGATCAACTTTATTAATAATTATTCTTATTATTGTTATTCACGTTTAATTTATTATTGAATCTTATAACTATCATCATAAAAATTATGTCAAATCTTTAAATAACATTCATTGTTATTATTATTGTTATAATAATATTAATAATAATAATTATTACTATTATTGTTCATATATATATATATATATATATATATATATATATAACATATATATATATATATGTTATACCATAGCTGGTTGAATCGTTCAAGTCAATTTTGGCCGTTATAATAATAATAATAATAATGATGATGGTGGTGATAATAATAATTAATTATAAATATAATAGTTTTCATTATCATATTAAAAAATATTCTCATCCCCCGTACGTATGCGCTTACTAAGTCTAAGTAGAGAATATGATTCTGATAATTAAACCGGTCTGTGTTTCTTTATCCTTTTATTCCTTGTTTCGTTCATTCGTTCGTCTATTTATTAACTCGTTCGTTCGTTTCTTTCTGGTTTTATTCATTCATTTTTTTGTTTGTTCATTCATTTACCATTCTTTCACGTATTCATTCTTTCATTAACATATTCATCCGTTCGTTCATTCATTAGCTCTTTCGTTCATTCACTCCACTGAACAGCGCAGCAACACGCTGATCCATCCGCAACGAATGATTTCGAAAATCCTCACGGCGTTTAAATTTCTCTAAAACTTTCATCGGTTATTTAATTAATTAATTAATTATTCAATTAATTAATTAATCATTCAATTAATTAATCAATCTATGATAATATGATACACAAACAATCAGCACAGCCATCAACGTTAATTAATTATATTATTTTGGACCATCAAACATTATATATATATTATATATATATATATATTATATATATATATATATATATATATATATAAATATATATGCGCATCACACTGTACAACATTAAATATATTATATATATACATATATATATATGTTGGTAATAGACCATAATTTTTACAATATTCTATAAATTCTACCGAATGTTTGGCGTTAATATGTTTGTAGTTCGTTTTTTCGATTTTTCTCACTAAAGTTTTTTAAAGAAGTTTTTAAAGAAGATGACCAGCCAATTAAGAAACCTGACACCTAATTCGCATCAAAGCTCAATTTAACAACACCAATCTTAATTTTTACAACGTCAAAGTTAATCTTGACAAAGTCAATATTTCCCTATATATACAACAAGGAGCACTGACGATGATTCATTCGGAATCGAAATATGGCCTTATTTGCAGCATGAATTCGAAAAATAAGTTTATTTTGAATTTTAATAAACTAAACGTTCACCAAAAAACTTTAGTGAGAAAAATCGAAAAAACGAACTACAAACATATTAACGCCAAACATTCGGTAGAATTTATAGAATATATATATATATATATATATATACTTATATACTATACATACACATATATACATAAGCAGTAAGTAACTATACTAGAATTAATGTTTTGAATTTACTATGAAAACTCGCTAGTCTATAATTTTGAAATAGCAATAATAATAATGATAATAATATCAGTAATAACAGTGATAATAATATAGTAATTTATATATATATATATATATATATATTTATTTATATATATATATATATATATGTGTGTGTGTGTGCGCATTTATGTGTCTGTGTAAGTATACTTATATTCTTATGCACTTAGATTTGTTAGAGATGGGTAGATAGATTGATGGATAGAAAGATAGATAGGTAGATAGACAGACAGACAGACAGACAGATAGATAGATAGATAGTTAGATAGATAGATAGATAGATAGATAGATAGATAGATAGATAGATAGATAGATAGATAGATAGATAGATAGATAGATAGATAGATAGATAGATAGATAGATTAATTTAATATGAAAACGAATGAAAGAAGGAGCGAGTGTGTGAATGAAATATGGATGAATATATGAAAGTGCGAATGAATGAATAAATGCATATTCATGTAGTCATAAACTTATTTTCGTTGACGTATTCAAATCATTATATGAAGACATCTATATACCAGCTGGTGATAATTAAAAATTATGAATAAAATAATTTAATAATAAATAATAATTATTATTACTATCCTCATTATTATAAGACAACAACAACAACAAACGTATCTAACTAATCAGAAATTTTAATTTTTTTGGAAAAATTTTATTGAAAATGTAATAAGAATAATAATCTTAATGATAATAATAATAATCATAATAGTCAACAACATAATAATAATAACCATAAAGATTGAGTGTGGTGTGATAAACGTATGAGTGAAACTGCAAGAAAAAGAAATATCTGAATCAATTAACGAATGAGGATAATAGGGAATGAAAGAGTGTAGGAATGAACGAACGAATGAATAAATAAATAAAGGAATGAGAGAGCGAGGGAGTGAATGATTGAATGAATGAAACACTATTCTCTGGAATGAAAAATGAAACTAAACGCATCTATGACAAATTTGCAGCTACTAATATATACACATATACATATATATATATATATATATACAACCAAATTTAACGACAATAATGATTTTCATTATATAATTAATATTATTATAAAGTTTAACCAAAAAAATACACATAATCACCAGTATAACGTCTAGTTTTTTTTTGTTTAACTCAAATCCCACCAGATTACAAATCAATTAAAGTATATTATTTATACTTCCATTGTAATTCTTAAGAGTTAGCGTACGTAATATAATTTAATTAATAAATTAAATAAATAGAAAAATATTGTAATAATAAATAATTTATTATTTCATTATTATTACTATTATTATTATTATTATTATTAATTACTCTAATTTACACTCTTAGTTGAGAGGATTAGGGCCACGATGAGTCCGTATAGACCAAGAACTTCAGCAAAGATCAGGATTAGGATCATTCCTGGATGGATGGATAGATTGAAAGAAAGAGTGAATTAATGAATGAATGAATAAAAGAATGAATGATAGATTGATGGATAATATAAGAGATGTATGAATGAATGAACGAGGCAATAAACGAATGATGATTATTATATTTTTACTTTGTCTTTTGTTTTTATTTACCAACACACTCACATTCTTTTTCTCATTCATTCATCCATTCCTTCAGTTGTTCATTCATTTAAACACACACTCACTCATTTTCTCTCTATCTCTTTTATCTATTCATTCACTCACTCACCGACGAAAAGCCTAGGTTGCTGAGCGGTTCCTCGAACACCTGAATCTCCGACGACCCCAATGGCGAACCCCGCGGCCAATCCTGAAAGCCCCACACTCAATCCTGCCCCCAGATGCAGGAACGCTCTGAGATTTTTGGTAGATTAGTGAATAGTAAGATTTTGTAGATCAAGTTAACACACGGAATTTTTCTTTGAAGCAACACAATAAATCAACCAAGAAACCAATCAACCATTCATTCATTCATTCAACCAACCAATCAAGCATTTATTCATTCAACCTATCAACCAATCAGTCAATCAATCAACCAAGCAGCCGACAAACCAACCAAACCACAAACTTGAACAAAGTGTATCCGGACTTGATGTCGTTAGCAATTAGGGCAGCCACTACAAGCCCATATATGGCAATAATACCTGTTTGTTTCATTGTTTGTTTAATTGTTGATCGTTTCGTTTCGTTTATCCATCCATTTATCTCCATCTATTTATTCATTCATGAATTCATTCCTCTATTTAACTATTTATTCATTCAATCATCTATCAATTCATTCATTAATGCACACATAAATCTCTAAATCCGTCCGCTTGTATGTTCATCTTTACATTCATTTACCAATCAAGCCACCAATCCATTCATTCATAATTCATTCAATTCCTCTATCAATCAATTTATCCATTTACTCACTCACTTATCCATCCGTCCGTCCATCCATCCATCTATCCACCTAACCTGCCATGACAACAGGGATGATGGATTTCATGATCAACTCGGGTCTCATGACGGCCATGGCTGCTATGCCAGTCCCCGACTTGGCCGTACCGTAGGCCGCACCCAGAGCTACGTGATTGGTCGGTTGGGTGGAAGATGATTGGTTGGGTTGGTTTGGTTGATTGGTTGAATGATTGATCCGTTGACTGAGTGGATTTGTTGATTGGTTGAATGATCGACAGATTTATTGATTGGTTGATTGACGGACCAATAGCTCCTAAATGAAGATTATTTCAAAAGTAACTGTAATATTTTAAATTATCATTTATTTATTTATTATTCCAATGCTGCTTAATACAAATGCTATTATAAATAATAGTAAAAATAATAATAATAAAAACTATTGTTATTATTATTGCTCATATTTGATCCAGTATTAATTGCTTGAAACTTGCTGCAGGCTGTTTAGACAACACCAAACAATGCAAGGTCAAGAAAGCATGTGTGCATGTATGTGTGTTTCTTTGTATGTGTATGTGTGCATGTATGAACATGCGTACGTATGCACACAAGCATACAATCAAACAATCATACATACATACATACATAAATACATAGCAAACACAAAATACAATACAAAAACAAACATGCACACACCAAACATTTGCAAAATAGGCATACAACATCATTTAAAAAATGTTAATTGACAGATCACTCACTCATTCATTCATTCATTCATTCATTTATTTACTCACGAATCTGTCCACCTTTCTATTCGTTCATTCATTCATTCGCTTATTCATTCATTCATACACTCACTCATTCATTATGTAATAAATTGTCTTTTAATTACTAAACTATAGACAGCATATGAGACTTTCTGAATCATCATTTTTTTAATTATTATAAATATTTTCATGATACTAACTCCTTAAGTATAAGTAAATAAATATGTAAAATGATCATATTATACATGGCTATCTATGCAAATGCATGTGTATGTGCTGGTTTGGATGTGTTTCTAAGTGTTTGTATGTATGTATGTGCGAGTGTTTATGTACGTGTGTTCACGTGTGTGCGTGCGTCTTTGCTGAACACTTTTTAAAATAAAATCTGTTAAGTTGTCAGAAATTATATTTAAAGTTAAAAGTAGAATAAAAGAATTAATGTATAAATGATTGAATGAATGTGTGAATGAATGGATTAACCAACAAATCAATCAGGCCGCCAATTATTTTTAGTAGTTTTAAATAAAAAACCTAAGACTACAAAAATATATAAATCATAGCATTATTAGCCATCTTAAACATTAATTATATTATTATTATAATTATTAATTATAATTATTAATCATAATATTCAAAATCATTTGCCATAATATATATTATTTTTCATAATTACACATTTAAACATAACTCATAAAACTCACAGCTGAACACAATAGCAGAGGCTGCACCTATGGCCCCAAAGAATGGAGCATATGGTGGGGACAACTCTGAAGACATTTTTTATTCTTTGCTTTTTTTCACTAATTCCCCACAAAGTGACACTGAATCACACGAATTTAAGACCAATCAATAATAATTATGTAACAGACTTGTTGGCTTTGGCAGATCTAGCTTTTTCTATTTATTTAGATAATTTCAAACAGAAATTTTTCTCTAAATTTCACCAAAATATTGAACAAAATTCTTTTTAGATTGTTCTAACTTATAAGTTATAATCTAATAATTATAACAATTATGATTAATAATTATTTTTCTTATCAATGTACAACAATCACTACATAAATATGTTCTTGTATGTATGTTATGTTGCATGCAAATGCTTCTCATTTAAAATGTTTTGCTGTTTGTATGAATGTATGCATCCATCTATGTATTATATAACCCATATATAATTGTTTCCACAAATATATGCTACAGTCTACCTACACAATCCAATGTGAACATGTACACACTATACAAATATATAGGTACGTGTACTGTGTTGTATATGTACTTATATTTGCCTATGTCTGTGACACAGTAGAAAGCTGTTTGCGTTGGGGACGCTAGAATTTCAAGCAAAAACCGGATCAAACACTAATTTCTAAACAAATTGAGGAATTTGAATAATCAATTCATTAAATTAATTCAATGAAGTTTTAAATGAAAATTATATAATATAATTATTATAATATGATATTATTTAGATAGTTTATTAATTATAATTATCATCATTTCTCTCATTGAAATGATTACTTTGATGCAGAAAAACGCTCTTTTTGATTTGAAAAATGGCGATAATGAAAAGCAAATGTCCGGGCAACGAACCCAGATATTCACATAAACATAAATATATAATTTTTTATAACTGACCACTGGTATAATATGTGTATTGTATGTAGAAATAAAGAAATTACATAAAAAGCATATATTCTTCCATAAAGTTATATTACTTAATATAAATGTATATAGGTAGAATATATAAAACACACACACATTTAGATCTATACCATTTATATATACATATTTATATATACACACATATATACATACCATTCATATATACATATTTATGTTCATACACATACAAAACCCACATATACACATATAAAACACACACAAAACACACATACACATACAAAACACACATATAAATACAAAACACACATATACACATACAAAACACACATATACACATACAAAACACACATATACACATACGAACCACACATACACACTTATGTACATAAAGAGAAAGAAAATGTATAGCGCACACATGATTATAATATTTAAGAAGCATTTGCTTGCACCGCCATGCTATCACATTCAGCTAGCTATGTGGAAGATCAATAAAGGTTTTGCATATATGTTATGTGTGTGTATATATATGTATATATATATATATATACATATATATATATATGCCTGTGTGTCCGTAATTTTTTTATATCAATAGAATCAACGTGATTATTAAAAATTTGATTAAGTTTTCTAGAACCTCGAAGCCTTTGTATAAAAAATTGATGAATTTTTATATATCACTGTTGTGTTAAACTATTAAAAATGTATGTATGCACGTATGTTTATGTTTTTGTTTGTTTGTATGTATAGTTCAGAAGTAAATAGCATGAGAGTTTCAATTTAATCCTCAATCTATTTAAATCGCAAAAGGATTGTCCTGTTTTCTAATGGCTAACTAAAATTCCAACTATAAACTATTTTTTCCAATGTATAAGATACAGTCATAAACTGCAATGTATGTATGTGGTGTATATATGTGTGATCTAACCGGCAATGTATGTATGTTTATTTGTATGTATGCATGTGTGATTGTATGCATGTATGTTTTCAGGTTTGTGTTGGCCAAAGCAGGCTTTTAAAACCAGTTTTTACTTAATGAGTTGACATTTTAATGTTGTTGATGTCATTGTTAATGCTGTTATCGTTGTTGTTGTTATTATTATTGTTACTTACGTGCTTATTATTGTTGTTATGATGTTGTCACTCTAAATATTCCCCTCCTATGGCAGATTATTTTTTCAGCTGACGTTATTGACGCCAAATTTGCAAATATTATTTAATATTAACAGGTAAAATACAAAATACATACAAACACACACACACACACAAACCGACAAACAAAAATCAAACACACGCAGAGAGTCAGTCAGTCAGTCAGACACACACACACACACACAGACAAACAAGCATAGGGACAGGCAAGACAAGAACACAACCTTAGCTATTTAGTTATCAACCTCTAATCACACCAAATGCAATGATTGGAAAATGAAATTTTCACAATGTTTTTATATATTAATAATAATATAACATTATTAATAACAATAATGATAATAGCAAACATGTACTAACAATAAACAAAGTAAAAGAAATTAAGAAAAGTCCATAGAAAATAAAATCATTTAATATATTTGTCCATGAATTTTTTATGGAACTCCGATCGCAGGGTGTCATTTATGTAATGCTTAACTTTTTTACTATCATCCTGTCGGCTGCAATTCTTGAAGACCACATCATCGTCCCACCTGTAAAAATGTATGTTTTGTATGCGTGTGCGTATGTTTGTTTGTATGTATGTATGTACGTATGTATGTGTGTATATATGTATGTATGAGTGTGTGTACATAGTATTTCCAAAAATTAATAAATCACTCTGACGAATTCATTATAACAAATATATTTCTCACCATAACCACAGCAGATAACAATCATTATCATAGCAGTAACAACAATAATAATATTAGTCTGACCTTCGTTTGACCTTGAACTCTGCAACGACCTTGTCCTGATTGAGTAGCGGATTACCTTTTATTATGTTCTCCATCCTGACTCTCTCCTCTTCCTCTTTTCTTTCGGCCTCCTGGTGGAGATTATGGCGTTGTATGAGAGACAATGGTTATGATGATGATAAAATAATAATACCAATAACAAAAAAAGATAATAAATACAATGAAGGTAAAAATTCCTAATTCCTAACTCGTCTAGCATGCTCGGCCGCTCTCTCCTTCTTAATCTTCGCCAGTTCAGCCATCAGGTCTGCCGAATCATCTTCATCGGATTCTTGGTCATCTGATTCGTCTTCCTAATTAGGGAAATGAATTAGTGAATTTGGGAAATTATAAATTTATTAACAAAGAAAAAATTATGTTTGTTTAGTCTTTTCATTTTTTTTTACACATCCATCTATCCACTAATTTGTAACCATTACATACATAATACTACATGCATTTATTCTTTTATTAAGAATCTTTTAATCTATTCTAAAAAATCACTTCCTCATTCAATCATTTGTTCACTCATTCCTCTATTTTTCCATTCCCCCATCCATCTATTCACTAACTAACATCAATTGGGTCATCTGCATCCAATGTTGACAAAGGTACTTGCTCTGATCTAGACTTTTTTGATACTAAAGATGGTAATGACGGGGCAGAGGTCTGGATTTCTGAATGGATAAAGGTGGTATCGAAAAAATATTAAATTTATAATTTAAAAAAATATTTATAATCATAATTTCATATATATAAAAATAAAAAGAATTTAACAAATGAGAATTTATATACAATGAACAAATAATTAGGTAAACCCTGACAATAGCACCCACCTCTGTTAAGAGCTTTATTGCTACTCTTTTTTTCTCTTAAATTCCTCTCTTTATCTTCTAATTCTCTACGGAAATCTTTGTTGCGAACGTCACTGGCTGAGTTCTGACCATCCTGCCTAAACAAAATAATAAATGCTATTATAAGAAGTATTAGCATAGCATAGCATAGCTATAAAATATAAATACTAAATAACATATCATAGCACATATAATGAATTTTAATTTTATTTTTCAATATTAATTATTAATATAAATATTTTTAATAAGTAAAAAATGTTATTTATAAAAATATAAATAATATAATTTGGCGTTTCAGACCTGTATTTCAGTTTTGTATGTCCGGGCAAATCCCGACTGGAATACTGTTTCGACATGGCTCCCAGATCATTCTCTGATCTTCCACTGCCTCCTCTGGCCGGTTCGAACGTCGGTCTTGCGGCGGTCGTCATTCTTAAAGTTTTTTAATTTAATAAAATCGTAAAATTTAAATTAAAAAAATTAATATTTATCGTCCGGTTTTTTAAATTAGGCAGCGATGACACTCTCCAATACAACAGCCTCAATCCACTGTTAGTATAACTATAACGACAGGTTAAGCTAGTAAAGCACGTTTACAACATAACCAAAGACTAAAAAAGTGAATTTGTAAATCCATCTAATTTACTTTAATTTAATGTACTTTAATTTGTATACAAACATAACAGTACGTTAAAAAACATAGTCACACTTTATATAATTTTTACATTATAAAATTAAAATATATACAGTTACACATATGAATTTACATTTATACGTGTGTTGATAACCAGAAAAAATTGAAACACTTTATGAAAACTATCGTACAAAGATATGCGACTCAATATTCTGCAGTTCCTTAAAAAATGCAGTCTTTTCTTCTAAAAAAACAAAAAAATTTAGTGCAAAATGTTATAAAAGACGGTTTATCCAACGTTAAATCTCATTAATAACAGTCATTTTAGTGTGATATTCTGATAAAAGTCGAAAAATGTTCATGTTTCTCTATCAAAACGTTCAACTATCACATTTAAAGAATATAATCCTTAAAAGATTAAAACTTAATAGCATAATAATAATATTATAAAATATTTCAAAAAAAATATGCAGGAAAACCCGAACAACACACCACCACCTCCTAGAGACGCAGCGTCGAAAATCAGGTCTCAAGTATAGACTCCCAATCAAAATCGTCCTCAATTTCATCCGTGGAATAGAAATTAGGTATGTTAGTGTCGTTTTTGGGGTCCTGTGTTGTTGACGCAACACTGCCCACATTGGTTGTCTTGTCTCCGAACAATGAGACATCCGGTAAATAATGGCTACCAGGTGAGGCATGCTGTTGTGCCAATGAAATACTTAACGTTTTTATGGGAGATGAACGATCTTATTCTACCGAATAATTACATTAAAATTATCATTTAAACTGTTCAACTAATAAAAAACCATATAGATACATATATCCTTATACAATGAACAGTGCATCAAAGATACATGGCGATATAGTGACAAACGCTGGATCGCTTTACATTCGAACCTAGCTAATATCGGCATAAGAACAGACTTTTTACATTTCGCCGCCACATGATTACAATAAAAAAATAAAAATATTCACTAGCCAGTTTAGGATTTCCAACGTTGACGTGTTTGTTGGCAGCAGTGTTCCTCGCGGAGCTTTTACCATTTGATAGTGGATTCTCTTTGAAATAATTATCGTAAAAGTTACTATCGGCGTCTAATAATTTCTTCATTTTCACTAAATTATCACCAGGAATGTCTTTGATGACGTCATTTATGGAGTTGGTACCGCTGAAGAAGTCACTGAGGGAGGCCGCCAGATCGAGCAGCTGATCCGAATCTAGATCCCAGTTGTTCACGTCGGCGCTTTCTAGGCTCTCCGCAAGATCTAAATATGCAAGGATATTCATTTTTATATCATTTTGTATCATTTTTATATCATTCTGTATCGTTTTTATATTCATTTTAAAATCATTTTGTATAATTTTTTTATAACTTTTTATCATTTTTTTGTAATTTCTTATATCTCACATCCCTTCCAACCGTTCTTATATCCCAATAAATATTTTGATATAATCTTTGTGTCATTTTTATATCATTTTGGCAACACTTTGGTATCTTTTTTTTTATAACTTTTATATACTTTTCTGACCGAAACAGTTCAAACATCTTTCCATATTTCCATATCCATCATTAACCCGGGTAATCAGTCAGATCGACATCCTTCCAGTTCGTAGTGCCGGCCATTTTCAGACTGCTCTTGAGTTTGTTGTAGCTCCGTAGATGACTTGACGATAGCAGAGGACCTTTTCGAACGATAATTATGAAAATAATTTTTAAAAATGAAAAGTTTTAGATTATATAGCGTGCAATATACAGTTTTGATTCAAACAAGCTTCTTCCACAAAAAATCAGTGCAGCTATAAACAACTCAACATGTGTGGATCTTAAATCAAGATTTTAAATACAGTTTAATTCTCAAATATTAAACAAAATGAAACAAACCAACCAACCGTAATCATCGTTACTCTCAAATCCTTTTGTGTATAAAAGTTTGAAAGAATCATTGAGACCATCACTTAACATTAGCCTGTCTAAATTAAACTTTTTAGTCGGAAAATGTTTATCTTCATCATCAGCGCCATCAGTAGCTACAGCAGCTGCAGTATTGCCAGCGTAACAATCACCAGAGTTATTATAAATCGTCTCGCAATAATAATTAACATTATTATCGTCGTCTACGTCATTCCTGACGTCATAACTTGTTGTTGTTGTGTTTGGTGGCCGATGTAAGACATAATGCCTGTGATCGATGACGTTGTCGTGGCTGTCGAAGACGATAGAGTAGTGCGTCGTTGTTCTTGCAGAATTCTGCTTTTTTACAATTTCGTCCTGAGGAAATTTTTGTTGTTTACAGCTTGCTAATGTCGTGCTTGGCGGCCGATAAATGACGTAATAATAATAATAATAATAATAATAATAATAAAGAGATAAAAATAAAAACAGCAATAATAGAAAAAATGCAGTAGCAGTAGTTACAACCTCTGCCGTAATCCTCTCTATAGAATCTTCCAGCAACTCTTTCAAGCCAACGAGCGAATCGTCACTCAAATCCGACAGAACGTTCGGGAAATCAGTTTTGGCCGGAAAAACCAATGACGTCATTCTTTTGGCGGGAAAAGTTAATGGTGTTGTTGGCGTTTTTGCGGGAGAGGCCAGTGAAGTAGTTGTCGTTGGAAACGTTGTTGGCTGAGTTGTTGTGGTTTGTATGCAGTTACTGTTCTGTTGGGAGGTGGCGAAAATGTAATTCTGATTGGGTGAAACCGGAGTGGAGCCCGTCGGCGGGGTGTAAGGAGAGGACTGGATCAGGGTTTTGAATTTAAATGATGAGGAGATATTCATCCATGCCTAAAAAAACTATTATACATTCTATAAAAAAAAGTTGTTTTACAACGTAAATGAAATTAATTTATAACAATACATCCGAAAGTTGTAGTAGTAAAAATAGCAACAATGGTAGTAGCAGCAGAAGTTATATTAATAGAAACAGCAAAAGTAATAGTACCAATAGTATTGAAAAAGTAAATTACGCGATCATTGGAGCTTCTATGTTTCGATTTCATCTTGAGAGGTCCGGTCTCATCAATGTAACTTCTGTCTATGGTCCAATAAGAGCCCTTTAAGATTTAAATAAATATTTATTCCATCGAAAAGTATAGTAGAAACATTGGACTAAACTCAAGTAGGTACGTTTGTATAAGAATTTAATAACGTTAAAAAATATATAAGTTTTCGTCGTTTTTATAAAAGAAACATTTAACAACATTTTAAATATTAGTGTTAGTAGTACTGGAAGTTTATATTTATTAATACAAAATAACATTATAAAAAACATCGAAAATTTAGAACTTAAATTCACTTTTCCTGGGTTCTCTTTTGGCCTGTCCAATCTTATGAAGCACTTGTTCAAAGATAAATTATGCCTGATTGAATTCTGAATTAGACAAAAAAGTTATAACTTTCAGTAATAATTATTAATAAAAAATACTATTATATCAAAATAAATAAATGTTCATAATTGAGTACATTTGAACAAATTTTTAAAAATAGCGAAGAAACCTTCCAGCCGATAGAGGTATGCTTATAATAAGGATACGTATCCTGTATCCATGCATATATGTCGCTCAAGGTCATCTGGAGGTCGGAGTTACTTTCAATGGCCATTATGATCAAATTTGCATAGCTCAGTATTGGTTTTGTTAGGATTTGACAGTGTCCTTTTCTATTGGCTGTCGGGGGGTCCACTAGATAAAAGAAAAATTAATTAAGAAGAATGTTCAATTTATTGACAAAAAAGGCATAGAAGAAAAGTTCAAAATGTACCAATGCTAGTTTTATTAGTTTTGTAGACATTTTGATTAGTAGTAGTAGTAATAGTTGGGTTTGTTATCTCTAGGTTTACCGTCTCTGAAGATGAAACATTTTTGTTTATGCTGCCTCCTAATGTTAGTTTCTGATTCAGCCAGCCGATATCAGTTAAACTACTTTCAAGTTCGGCCATTAAAAATTAAAATGTGATCAAATTTTGATTTAATTCATTACTTTTCAAAAGTTGAATATAAATTATGTGATAAACATAAAATTTCATGAAAATTCAGAAAAATTTTCAATTTTTCACTTCCGTCAATCAGAAATTAATAAATTAAAAACGAAATGACCAGACGACGGAACGAAAAATCGTGAATTCTCTGAACGTCGATATCGAAAATTAGTGCTGTTGTAACTATTCGAATAATTGAAGTTTCAACTATTTTAATATTAATTTAAACGAGTTATATAATTTAAATTTGTTGTTACTAAATTATTAATTAATTTTAATTTAGTTTAAATTTTGAAAACATTTTTTTCGTTTACATGTTTACAATTTTTAGTTGCTAAGCAGCTAAAAGTGAACTTGGCTGGCTATCAGCTGATTGCATAGAAAAGTAAATAAATTAATAAATCAAAGCGTGTTTTGAACGAATTATTTATCTACCGTAGAAACTTAAAAAAATGTTTTCTCAATTTGTATTAAGAAAACTAACTGAAAAAGCAATTAATATTACATAAATAACATTTACTTATCAAAAAATAATTAAAAAAATAATTTTTAGCATCATTTATGGAATTCTTCTTCTTTCTCGTGCCTTATCCTGGCGATCATCGACCTCAACAAAACCAGATCTTTAACACTTTGTAGCAGTTGAAATGTGGTGATATTCAGCAAGTGACACAAGGACTTCACGAATGTTATCCGTTGTTGACCGCGATTTACTTGATACAGATTTACTTGATATTTATACAAATAAAAATTAATCTTTTGAAGAATCATACAGGAAAAACTAATAATTTTTTTTTCATAAAAATGACATTTAAAAAATAAAATATAAACCTGCATATAATCATTTAAAAAGGTATATATATTGCTTATAATAAATAAATTTTGATAGAATGTTATCAGGCCTTTTGATACGAATAAGCATAAAATTAAAAAAATTACAAATATCAACTAGATTTTAAACAATTAGTTTTAAGCTGCAACATCAATATCATTATCAATATCATCAGCAACCAGCATTGTCGTTGTCATCATCAACCGACCAATGGAATAAATTAGAATAAAATAACCGATCAATTATGTAAAAACATTCAAATTACGGTCGACCAATCACATAAAAACATTTGAAATCTGTCAATCAACTAGGTAAAAGTTTTCAAAATTAGCCAACCAATCAGGTAAATTAATAAAATCAGTTGACCAGTCAAGTAAAGGCATCCAAAAAATCCGTGGTAAACGGCTCCTGATAGGACGTCTGTACGTAACGTTGCCTAAATAAGCGGTGCGCGTAAAACACAAGATGGACCAACCAGAATGCAGCATTTATCCAACAAGATGTCTGACAATGGTGATGATTGTTGTGACGATGATGACTGCAATAATGATAATTGTGGAGACGACGATGATGATTGCGAAGATGAAAATGATGACGACCATGATGATGATGATGAATATCGTGATATCATTCTAAACAGTAAAAAGAATAATTTAACTCACTTCAGTTATCTCCATGAGATTGTGGTAGTATCCCATATTTAATTTTGAAACAGCACTACTACTATTACTGCTACTACCACCACCCCTACTACCACCACCACTACTACTACTACTACTGTTATTATTTTGCGGATCATTTTCATAACCAGCAGCGTCTCCAGTTACCCAGTGCCACGCATTGCTCTGGTATTGGCTATCAGAACATCTGAATAAGGATAATAATGATGATGGCGATGATGATGACAATGATGATGATACAGATAATGATAATAAATGGTGATTGATGGTGATGACGACGACAAATGTCAATGATAAATCCAAAAATCATACAAATCAATAAAAAAACATGCAAGGTAAACACTTTTAAAAAAAACCTACCAAATCAAATCAGGCATATCAGGCATACACACACAAATTACACACACACGCAAACACATACTCATTAACATACGCGCACACACACACACGCACATACACACACATACTAAACAACACCTTTCCATCTGAACCCCACACTGCCTAAACTCCTCAAACAAGGATTTGCACCACACAGACAGACCGACAGTGATCATACATGCAGATGACATAACCAACATTATGGCTAAGCAGCTTGAAAATGCCAGTGTGCGTGTCCACATTTGGTATCTATGACGTGTGGGGTGGAAAATTTATATTCTATGGTATATAGTTAAATATCTATGGCATGAGGGTGAAAATTCATTGATCTATGGTTAGTAAAACCCCAATAAGATACTCACCCAACTCTAATTTGATAAGCACTTTTTCTGGCGCTGTATGCATGATAGAACCCGTTAATGATGGCGTACAAAACGCAGACAACAATGTTGGCTCCCACTACAAAATCGCAAACAGACACCCTGCCACCTATCACTTGAATTAAAATTTCACTAATTCCTGAACTCGTACTAGAAATGATAGACTGGGCTGTTGTTGTTTTATTACCATTAGGTGAAGGTGAAAAATGTGATGATTCATTAGATGATGATTGTGAGATTGGTGAAGTGTGGCCACTGTGATTAGTGTTGTGACAGCTAGACTGGCCGTACAGAATGCATAGTCCACCGGATGAATTCTTTTCGAGTGTTGTTAAAAATTAGTGTAAAATTATAAAAATAATTCAAAACTACAGAAACAAAAATTATTAAAATTGTTTTTTAATCAAAATAACTAACTCGAGACAAGATGGCCGATATGACCGTAGCTAATCCTGTGCCAGTCACGGCAAAATAAAGAACACTTTGTAACACTAAACTCTTGTCTATTAGAGCCCAAGACATTTTTATGGGCTTAGTTATAAAATTTAATTTTTGTTGTATAATAATAAATTATTAATAAATCAAAATTTTCCTAATTGACTGATTTTGTAAAAATACTAAAATAAAATAGGAAAATGTGACCCTAGATAGATAGACCGAAGACTCTCTCTTCTAGACTCTAACATGTAGACTGACAATGTCTAAAATTTGACTTATAAAAGATCGACCTTTACGCCAATTTTAAATTATATCAACGTAAAATACAGTTAACTAAAATAGTTTTATGCCCTAAAATTATTTTTATGCCCGAAAAACTACGATTTAGGCAAAATAGATCATTATATCGTGGTCTTTAAAAAGCCAAAATAACCTTTATTACCTCACAAAGGTGTTTTTATGGAACGTTTATGATGATTTTAATTTGTTCTATTAATTGCTAATTTTTTTATTTATTAATACAAATAAATATTAAAAATGTTTTTTTTTGAAATAAAGTATACTAATTTAATTGAATATATTTTTTTTTAATTTATTTTAATAATTTGAAAACCTAAATTTACTCTTAAAAATTGTCAAAAACAGCTGGCTAGCCTGGCTAGCTTCACCAAACAAAATATTGCATTGTAGAAAAATATATTTAAATTTTTAAAATTTTAATTAATTAGACATTAACTTATTATTTTTGAAACTTATTTGTCATTTAATTATTAATTCAGAATTAATTTTGTTTTTTAAAACTCTTTCAAAAAGCCCAGTCTAAAATTAAAAAGTTCAAGTTAGGTAAATGTAAGTAAATCTTTTCTTCATTGTTATGCTTGAATTTCTTGTTCTTCTTGTCCTTATGAATCATTATAGATCAAATAAATTTAACTAACACTATTTTTTTGCATAATTTTATAACTAAAACATGTCAACCATTCATCTATCTTTTTCCCAAAAATAGGGATTAGTGAATAAATCATACACAATGTCCTGCCAGTTAAAAGTCATTGCCAACGTTTTGGATGTGCCACTGATACAGAAGAAACTTTTTCCAGACAAAAACACTGAAATTAATAAAGATAACACTGGTAATAATTATATTGATGACCCCATATTCAGCAGTAAAGAAAAGAAATTAGGTTTGTCCTTATTAGGATTTTTTCCCAAATGATATAAATATTTATAAATAATAATAATTGAAAAAGTTTTTTATTTTTATATCTATATCAGTAATTTTGTGTAATATATCAAATAAATAATAAATTAAATGTATAATTCTCAAAAATTATTTCATTAAAATTGAATTAGTTTAAGAATTTTTGATGAAAATTCACATTTATCTTAATCAATCTCGCTTATCATCTTTATTATATTTAAAAAACATCCATTTATTTTTTTCTCTCCATTCTTTGCTTCTTCCTACCTAACTCAAGATGATGACGACAAGTACAGTGGCTGGGGTGATAACGACTGGGGATGGGATGAGGATGATGACAACAATGATGATAACGACATCAAAAATGCTAAAAATAATCACCAATCATCTTCATCATCATCTGCGATGATGACATTGCCTGGAATGACACCGTCATCATCTTCATCGTCAATGTCATCAACATCATGGTTACAGGAAGTACATTTGTCTTTGTCGCCATCTGGGGAGATGATTGTTCTAGCCAATGAGGAGAGGATTCTATATTTAGCTCGTGGGTTTTTGTTTAGTCATAACTCTTTAGTGTTTTGCAGAAGTGTGAATGACAAAAACACATTGTTTCTGGAGTGTTGGTATAATTGAGGTTGACGTTATTGTCTTGCTTTGTTCTGTGGTTTTTAAGAAAATTTTTTCTTTGCTCATCTTTTGATGGATAGATAAATGAATGAATGAATTGATGAATAAATGAATTGATGAATAAATGAATGAATTGATGAGTGAATGAATTGATGAATTTGTTTTATAAATATTTTTTGTCACCTGGCAGAAAAATGGGATAGTAAGGATGAAAATGTCTCGACGAAATATTCAATCATTCATGAAGCCATGCCTTTGATTGAACCTGGGTCAGTTGATTGATGGATTGAATAAAGGAATGAATGATTGATTGATTGAATAAAGTAATAAATAAATAAATGAATGAATGATTGATTGATTGATTGACTAATTTCTTTCAACTTCGAAACTCATTCAGTGAGAAAATAACAACTGTTTTCTGTCTGCCTCTTGCCTCTCATAAAAGGTTTATCACGTCGTCGTCATCATTTTTTCTATCGTATTATATCATCATCATCATTATCATTATCATCCTTATCGTCATCATTATCATCATCATCTTTGTCATCATTATTACCATCACCATCGTCGTCTTTAGGAGTTCTCACGGCGGTCCGGAATGGACTTGCGTCCTGGTCGGCTTCTCAACTGGATTCGTCAGGATTTACACTGAGGTTGGTTCGTTGATTGACTGATTGATTGGTGGATTGGTAAATTTGATTCACTGATTGGTTGGTGGATTTTATTCACTGATTGGTTGGTGGATTTGATTCATTGATTGGTTGGTGGATTTGTTTGATTGATTGTTTGGTTGATTGAATAAATAATCTTTCAATCATTCAATCAAATTTTCAGTTAAAGAACTGATCATTTGTTAATTCACCCATGCACCATGCATTCTGTTATGCATTCATTCAAGTATAAGTGAAACTAAAGTTTGCAAATTCCTAGAAATGTACATAAATCAAAAATTAACATTTGTACCTCACATAAAAAAATGTCGCTTCAAAGTTTTCTAGAGGCCCGTGCTTAATCAACAAATACAAATTTTATCTTCCCGCTAGAAGTCGTACGTGGTTGTACAATGCATTACGTCTGCCATACGTTAACTATTGTAACTTAGTTTGGGTTTCAACGTGTAAATCCAACACTGAAACAATTTCTCAACTTATAACAAGACAGTAAAAATGCTCTCAGACAGCTACCTTCACTCGATAAATTCTAGAAATGTTTCATAACGATCAAATCTCGTCTCCTCTTTCACGCGACAACATGCTTACCCTACGAGAATTTTCATTTTCAAACAGCTGAATGGTCTTCTTCCGCATGCATTCGATGCTTTCTTCAAATACCAAAAAGCCAGAGAAACACGACGACAGAACTGTCTTGTTTTAAAACCTGCAAAAAAGAACATTTTATTTTTCCATATTATAAGTTGCTCTGCTCCCCGACTCTGGAAATAAATTTCAAAAAAGCAACCTAATCTGCAATGTTTTATCTTTGTACAAATTTAAAAAGATCTTGAAATCATTCATAAAAGAATTTAATTTGTTCTAATATTTTTAAAATTATCATTAGTACTGTATGATATATTAAAATGTTGTATTGAAATAAAGATCATTTCATTCTCATTTGTTCATTCATTCATTTATTCATTCATTCATTCATTCATTCGTTTGTTCGTTCGTTCATTCATCTATTGACCGATTGATTTTTCAATCTCACGACCAGTCAGGCACGTTGTTGATTAGCCAGTTGTTCAACGAGGATCCAGTTGTGCAGATCAAATCGTTGACCTACTCCCCGGCCATTTATTACGGAGATATTGAGAAAGTTAGTGAGGGGAGGAGGAAATTCATTTATTCATTCATTCATTCATTCGTTTGTTCATCCACTCATTCATTCATCCACTGATAGCACGAAGAGATAGTCATCCTCTACCCCCAGACAATGGTCACAATTGATGGCTTTAGTTTGTACCAGACTCTCAAAGCATGTAAAAACCAGGCGGCCAGAGGTGATGATGATAACAATAACAATAACAACAACAATAATAATAATAATAACAATAATAATAAACAGCAGCCGCCAGTGGCAACGTGAACATGGCGGACATGCCCCTTCTGGCCTACAAAAAGTGGGGGCTGCATGAGCTTGAGGCCGCTAATGACGTCACCGTTTGTGGTCGGTGGTTATGATGATGATGATGTTTGATGGTGATAATGATGTTTAATGATGATGGTGATGATGATGTTTGATGATGATGGTGATAATGATGCTTAATGATGATGGTGATGATGATGTTTGATGATGATGGTGATGATGATATTCATCCAATCAATCGTTCAATCAGCCAGTCAATTATTCGTTCAACGAATCTTTTAATTATCTGCTCATCTATCGATTAATCACTCAACCAAACAACCATCTCGTGCTTAACTCAATCAGTTAATCAATTAATCAATCAATCAATCAATCAATCAATCAATCAATCAATCAATCAATCAATCAATCAATCAATCAATCAATCAAAGGAGCATTCCAGCCATCCAACTTCGACCTCATGGTCAGCCATACGATCGATAATAAGAGTTCTTTGGTCTTATCTATGGAGTATTATTATGTTACAGTCGGGCGCGGTCCTTTCGTTAATTTCTATCATAATATTTTGGTTGGTTGGTTGATTTGGTTGATTGATTCAATGATAAATTGGTAAAAAATTGTTTGAATTTTATTTAAATGACTGACTGATTGGTTGGCTGCTTGATTGCTTAAGATAATGATTAATTAATTTGTTGTTTGATTGGTTGAATGGTTCATTTATAATTTATTAATTTATTCACATAGACAAGGCCAATACCTCAGTTATCAGATGTCGTTAACATCGTCGGGCAAAAGTTGAAAACGGCCTTTTTGTCTGCTGCCAGGCAAGTTTTAACCATTTCATCTATCCTTTCGTTCACTTAATCATTTTTTCCTTCCTTCCTTCCTTCATTCATTCATTTATTCATTTCTTCATTCATTATTTCATTCAATCGTGCATTCATTCATTCATTTATTCACATTTTTCTCTGAACAGCGGTTGGCTTGGTTTAAGCTCTGGCACTGAAGTAAAGGATAAGAAGAATCCGAAATTTGAACCGGAAGTACCTTTGAATCCAAGGTATCCTCCTCATCATCTCCATCATTTTTCTATAATCATCACAATCACCATCATCTTTATCATCACCACCATCGTCATTCTCATCATCATCATCTGTATCATCATCATCATCACCACCACCATCATCATCTTTAACACGATCACCATCGTCATCATAACTAAAGTTATCTCCACCACGATCATCATCGTCATCGTCGTCATCATCATCGTCGTTATCAGGCACGGTCTGTATGACAAGCGAAGACACGGAGTGACCATAAGCCCCTCTCCCGATTACAAGATGGCTGCCACGACGGATAGTTTTGGGAGGGTCATCCTACTCGACGTCCCGTCCGGAGTCGCAATTAGGATATGGAAAGGTGATGATGACGATGATGGTGATGTTCTTGATGATGATGACGATGATGGTGATGTTCTTGATGATGATGATGTTGATATTTGTGATGTTCTTGATGGTGATGTTGATGTTTGTGATGGTGGTGACGCTCTTGATGATGATGGTGTAGATATTTGTGATGATAGTGATGATGGGGATGTTCTTGATGATGATGGTGTAGATATTTGTGATGATAGTGATGATGGGGATGTTCTTGAACAATCTGCCATCCAATAATATCCAATCAACTTATAAGCTCCTTCAACTCAAAAATCATCCAACCAATCAGCATTCACTTCGAGAATAAGAACTCCCCATTCGTCAATCATCCGACCAATCAGGTTACAGAGATGCCCAGGTAGGCTGGATTGAGTCGACGGAAATTCTAACGGCGACTAAAAAAAGCAACTTTAACAAAACCAGCAACAACAACAACAACAATAATGAAGAAGAATTTAAAGAGCAACAACATTTTTATCACGACCCCTTCAAGAAGGGCAGGGTACCAAGAAGGACCATGTTCCTTGTCATCTACGCCCCCAGGCGGGGTATTTTAGAGGTGATGAAGATGATGATTGTGGTGATGATGACGATGGTGGGGGCTGGGATGGTGGTCGCTTCATTGTTACGTACATTTAAATCTACCTCTGTTGACGAAAGAAAGTTTCTCAAAACGGCATCACCGTTGTCATCGTAATTAACATCATCATCATAACCACCATCATCATCATAACCACCATCATCATCATAACCACCTTCATCATCATAACCACCATCATCATCATAACCACCATCATCATCATAACCACCTTCATCATCATAACCACCATCATCATCATAACCACCATCATCATCACTATCATAATCATCATTGTCTCACCATCA